CCGCTCTAGGCTCCAAAGGGAGACAATGGCCTAGAGAGAATGCAATTCCAGGGCGATGATCACCTATTGGACTGTCATGATGGCTCAGGGTGTAAAGGTGCTCCGTACAGAGCCTGGTGACCTGGGTTCAATCCCTAGTACCCATGTAGTGAACCCACTCTGGTAGTACTCTACACAGGGCTGTGGCACACACCCCTGTCCTAAAATAAATCAATAAATGTAATTTTTAAAAGTAGACCGGCTCTTAGTCCAAAGTAAAGACACGGATTGGAGAGAGGCCACAGTGTTGGTGTTGGTATTGGGCAAGGAAGATGGAGGTAGGATGCAGTCCAGGAGGCCATCACCGTTGCCAGGGGCAGACGATGGGCTTCCCAGCTCCGAGTGGTATCTAGCGATCAGAAACAGGGATTCATGGGCTTTAGATCTGAAATAAGCTTGGGGATATTTTTTCTTCTATTCACTTTTCCTCTCAAACAGACAGATTTTTGCTATGCCACACCATCTGGTTAAGAACTTTTTGTTACAACTTTTTAAAAAATTCCTAAGAGCAGTGCATTTATAATTTTGCACATTGGAAATGGTGAAAATGAGTGAAGGACCAGGAGAGCGAGGTCCTTCCACTGGTCGGATTTCTTCATGGAATATACATGTGAGAAGCCAAGTGTCTCCATAGCATTGACTGGAATCCAGTGCTCTACAATTGGTTAGCTTATGGCTTGATAACTACCCTTCTCAGGACATACACATTTCATGTCATTCATTGTCTTTCAAACACTGGGTTAGCAATGATTTATTTACTTTAGGGGCTGTCTGTGCTGGCGACTAAGCTCAGTCCTGAACACTGGGTGAGACAGTTTTTTTTTTTTTGAAACAGACTCTTGCTATTACCTTAGCTGGACTGGAATTAACTCTATAGCTTTGGTAGGTCTTAAACTTGTAATCCTCCTGCATATTATATATATCCTATATATTATATATATCTTAGAATTAGAGGATTGTAATTCCTCCTGTGCCACCAGTCCTAGCTCACATTTGCCATATATAAAATGTGATATTTTATATTCAATTCTGAATATTTTCTAATTTATGGTAATACTTCTTGAATTTTAAAATGTTTTATTTAATCCCTAAATGTTTGACAACTTCTCAAGTATTAACCTATTGATTTCTAACACTGTATTCGGATCATTTTTCTATATTCTTATATCCAATTAGAGACAAAGGAATGCTGAAATTTCAATCTACAAAATGTCATCATCCCTTCTTCCCTCCCTTCTGCCCTCTCTCTCTCTCCCTCCCTTCCTCCCTCCCTCTCTCTCTCCCTCCCTCCCTCTCTCCTTCCCTCCCTCCCTCCCTCCTCTCTCTCTCTCTCTCTCTCTCTCTCTCTCTCTCTCTCTCTCTCTCTCTCTCTCTCTCTCTCTCTGCCTATCTTACCTTTCCTCTTCTGTGGCTCTTGTCCTTTTCCCTTTTCCCATTCATTTTCACTTTCCCCCAATCCCCCAATAAAACAAGCCCTCCACCCAAGCTCTGTCCCATGGTGCCCTGTTTTGTTTTTTTAAATTTCAACAGGAGCAGCAGCTGAGAACTCACAGTTTGAACCACATGCAGGAAGCAGAGAGCACTAACTCAAAATGGTGCTAGTCTTTTAAAGCCTCAAAACCTGTCCGCAGTGACATACTTCCTCCGGCCAGGCCAGGCCTCTTAGCCTTCCCCAGGCAGCCACCAGCTGGGGACTAAGTATTCAAAGACTTATCTGCTGGGGACAACTCATTCAATCTACCACAGGAAGTTTGTTTGCATGTACATCTATGTGCTATTTGCACGCCTGATGCCTGTGGAAGCCAAAAGAGGACATCAGATCCTCTGGAACTAAAACACAATTGTGAGCCACCATGTAAGTACTGGAAATCTTTAGAAGAGCAGCCAGTGGTCTGAGCCATCTCTTCAGCCCCACAAAGTGGTCTTCTTATAGGCATTTTTCTAAAGCCTAATGGAGCACTCTGCCCTTCCCCAGAGTATTTACATCATCCACATGTAATGTAACTATCAGCATGATTCAATTTAATTTATCTTGCTACAATTTTACTGGTGGTTTACTATAGTTTCTTTTATATGATTATATCAAAATTCCTGTGAAAACAACCTATGGGAGGAAACGTTTTATTTTGACTGATGGTGAGACACCAGTCATGGCAGAATGGAGCCGTTCACATCATGGTGGCCAGGAAGCAAAACAAACAAACAAAAAACAAGGAGGGGGAAGTCAGGGGCAAGATATGGCCCCAAGTATGTGCTCCCAGTGGCCTGTTTCCCTCTAACTAGGCCACCTCCTACTTTTATCCCTCCCAAATAAGACCGTCTTCTCCGGAAATGCCCTATAGACACACACCCAGAGGTGTCTTAATACAATCATGCAAGCAAGATTAACCATTGCAGGTTCTAATTGTGCATCTCTCCTTTTAGTTTGGACCATTTAAAATTTATTATTTTAAATTATGTACAGGTGTGTGTGTGTGTGTGTGTGTGTGTGGGCATGTGTATATGATGTAGGCTAGAGGCCTCAGATTCCCTGAAGTAGGAGTTGTTGTAAGCCACCTAATGTAGGTGCTGGGAACCAAACTCAGGACCTCTGGGACAGCAGCAAGTACTCTTGATCACTGAGCTATGTCTCTAGCCCCTAGACCAGGGTTTCACAACCTGTGTGTTACAACACTGTTTAGGGCACAAATGACCCTTTCACAGAGCTCACATATCACATATCCTGCATATTATTTACATCATGATTCATAACAGAAGCAAAACAAGAGTCATGAAGTAGCAATGAAAGTAATCTTATTGTTGGGGTGGGAGGAGGTCATCACAACATGGGGAACTGTATTATAGTGTTACAGCATTAGGAAGGTTGACAACCACTGCCCTAGACTAATATTTATAATTCTGTTATTTCTCCATGATAAGCTTATCAGTTGCATCTCCTGATTTTATTTTTTCAGTGACTGCTCTATGTGGATATTTGTGCACTATATGAACTATGAGCTTTTATATATTCATAGCATATACATTTATATATTAAATTATCTTCATGTTATTTCAAATAATATTTCGTTACTATGCAGTGTGTGACTCCTTGGCAGTGTAGTTCCATTTCTGCTCCCCTTAACTTTGTGTTGTAGTTATCATTTTACTTTTTACAGTCAGTACCAACCCACATACATATGTTGTTTGTTTTTGCTCTAAATGGTCATCTTTTTTTCTTTTGCTTTTTTTTTTTTTGAGACAGCATCTCACTGTATAACTCTGGTAGTTCTAGAACTCACTGTGTAGACCAGACTGGCCTCAAGCAGCAATTCTCCTGTAATGATGACAGCCGATGCTATAGGGGATGCAATATATTTATTTACCAGAGAGAGAGAGTCACACAACCTAGGAGTTAGAAGTATGGCCGGCTCCCAAAAGAGGAGGTCCTTTTTCCTTTCGCTTCCTTTTATCTCTACCTGTGCTAATTTACTTGTCCCCGCCCTCATGGGCGGATAGCTTTGTGGGGTTCACTCCTACAATTCCCCTTTTAGTCTAAATAGAAGATTTAAATTTGATACAAACTCAAACATATACAACATATATACATAGAGGGTGATAATTAAATTATAATCTACTTATATCCTAAGCTAAACATATCCATTCCACCTAAATTCTAAACTTATCTGAAAGGGATGCCTAAGTCTGAACACCTCCTTCCAATCCCAACCCTAAAATAATTGAAAATTAACACTAACAGGTGTAAACTATCCTCTAATATCAATAGTAGGGAGAAGGGACGTGGAATTCTCAAATTTACTTCCTGCTGAAGTGGGACGATGACAATCATGGGGACCTGTGGGAAGAAATTGCTAGTGTTACAAGAGTCTTAAGTAGGTTAATTAGTCTCTGTTTGGCAGGAGATGCTTGACTGAAGTTCTTGATTGGAGTTCTAATTTTGATTGAAGCTCTTATCTGAAGCTCTGGTCAGATTGTAGAAGATGCACTGTATCAGTTCCTTGGTCTGGAGATGTGTCGAGTGATGTAGTTCCAAGCTGGTTTCAGGATGGTGTTTGTCAGGTGGGGCCGATGATGTGGGGCAGTTCAGATGCATCCAGTCGAATCAGGGGGAGTTGCGGAAGTGAATCCCCATTCTCTTTCTGAAGCAGTTGAAGATTGCTGTCAGGAAATCCCTTCCAAACCCTGGATTAAAGGTGTGTGACCCTACAACTAGCTCAGTCAAATGCCTTTTAAAAGATCAAGAATAGGAAAAATATCATTTTTGCAATCCTAATTTTGGAAAGTAAAATATTCATGTCTGGGCAGTGGTGGTGCACCCCTTTAATCCTGGAACTTGGAGGCAGAGGCAGACGAACCTGTGTGAGTTCAAGGCCAGTCTGGTCTACAGAGTGAGTTCCAGGGAAGCCAGGGCTACAAAAAGAAACCCTGTCTTAAAGAACAAACAAACAAGCTCATGTCTAATAACAGTGAACAACTACCCTGGCTAAACAACTTAGTCCTTTTTGACTGAACTGTAAGCAAGTTTTCTACCATTTAAATGAATCCTGCCCATGGCAATCAGTGTGTGCTGGACAGGCATTAGTTAGAACTCACCAACATTTTTGTTTTTGGTTACCAAATGTATACAGCGATTTGAACAAGTATGTAGCTTACAAGCACTTATTTCTTACCTAAGATTTTTTCCCAATGACTGTCTTATTTTTATCCACTAATGTCCTCCAGCGTTTGTTTGTTTGTTTTTAAACAAAATTATGACCCATATACTCCAAATGCCCAACATTGGAAATTAGACCCTCATATCTTATTGGTTCCTGTAATGATTCTCTAGCTTGGGCTGGAGAAATTAACTAAGGACTGTGGCTCGTATACGTGCTGAGTCGGCACAGCAAGTGCCTCCGGGATCTCCTCCACAATGTGCCAGTCAGCTCCTTAGATTAATTAAATACCTTTGCATAGGAACCATGTTATTACAAACTCTTTATTTAGGAAACGATCATCAAAATGACACCCTGTACTGCTATAATAGATAAATCTTTGGTTGGCCCAGAAAGGCAAGAGTTGTGAAGGAAGATCTTTGTCTGTAAAAGAATAAGGCAGGATACCTTTGGTCAGGTTTTCTCACTGTGCTTCAGAGTCCTGTTGCTTGTCTTTACAACTTCAACATTCATGTGAACCACTAACTCACCTCTGGTGAGCCTAAGTCACTTGAAATAGTCATTTTCCCCATATGAACATGTTATCAGCTGGTTACAGTGTTTGTAAATCCATGCTCTGCTTTAGTTCCCCCTATTTTGCTTCAATTTAAGTATTGTTTTTAAATATGGAGGAAATCTATGTAGATCAAAACTCTGGGCTACTGAAAAGGAGGAGGAATGTCTCTTGAATAGGTTTCCATGCACCGCTTTCTCTCGCTTGTGAATTAAGCAAAGACGTGTGTACATTTTTTAAAATCTCCCCTCTTCCTAACACGAAAGGTAGTGTGCTGTGCTCACTCTTCTATATTTGCTTCTTTTGGGAGTTACTTATTTGTTGAGTTTCTTCATCTGTAACATGGAGAGAACACAATGTCAAGATATGTGACAATTAAATAGAAGGAGGCCGGTAGCAAGGACCAGTAAGGGCAGCAGGGATCAGTCAGGCGTGCTGAGTACCACCTTCACCTGGGCCTACAGCCCGTTCCTGCTATCCCCGTAGGAACATGGTGGCGATAACACTCCCATTGTGTCCCTCAGAGCTGTAGTCAGACCAACATCACACCACCCAGCAAGAATAGTTTTGACATTTCACACATGCATTAGCAGCTCCAGCCAGCTAAACGTTTAAGGCAAGCTCTGAGGTCCTAGAGCCCACTCCTGACAGGTCTCCTGGTAGAGTGCTGCATTGTCTCCCAGAAGCAACCACACATCCAACCAAAGTGCCATGTGGAAACAAAGAGACTCTCGGCCAGTTTGCAGGACAAAGAAGCCTTGAGTATTCCCTTTTTGCCCACGTGTTTACTATGTCCTGTGCTCCCTGTGTAAGTGCACAGTTCCATCTGTATGAGTTTTCTTTTCCAGGAAGAACTTTGCTCTTTCTTATGCTGCCTCTCTACTAGGACTCTAGCCTCTTGTCTCTTGTTGGTCATTTTGCTGCCGTTATTGAAATCTCATTTTGCCCGGGCGTAACATTCTGTATAGACAGGACTTGTATTCAATACTTGTCTAGTTTACTAATGCTTTGCATAGTCTGTGATTAAAATTTGTTTGTCATGCCTACCCCAGATTCTCTGTATGCAGCATGTTTCCCCCTCTTCTTCCCGCTTTAATTTTTTAAAAATCTTAATCACTGGTTTTCAGAAATTAGATTATGATTAGATTATTATGTGGTGAGGATGGCCCCCACAGGCTCATATGTTTGAATACTTGGTCTCTAATTGGTGGAACTGTTTGGGAAGGACCAAGAGGTGCTGTCCTTGTTAGAGGAGGTGTGTCACTGGGGATGGGCTTTGAGGTTTCAGAAGACCTGGGTCATTTCCAGTGTACTCTCTGTCTGCTGTTTGAGACTTTGACATGCGAACTCTCAGCAGTTCCTGCTGTCACGCCTCTAAAGGCTCCACCATTGTGGACTCTACCCCTTCAGAACTGTAAGTCCAAATAAATCTTTTCTTTTTATAAGTTGCCTTCTGCCTGAGTTTTACTGTGTTTTTCTCATGAGTGATAATCAAATCTTTGACAGTTTGCTTGGCCATTCTTTTCTATTTTCTCTCTATGCCTCCCCTTCGGGGAATCTCAACCTCACACTTTTCTTCCTACTTGTTTGGTCTCATGGGTTCATTTTTATTCATCTTTACCACCTCAGAACCTCTTTCTGTAAATTTTTTGTTTCTATGTTTCCAATTATTGTATCTAATTTCTTAATTACATATACTTTCTCTCTTACTTGAGGTATATATTTTTAATCTCTAGCAGTTCCATTTGGGTCTTTTTAAATCTTTCATTAAATTTTTCAACCTATATTTCTCTATCTACTTCAGCATATAGAACACATGTACAGTAGAAACTTTAATGTCACTTAAAATAATTTATTCATCTCTAATAAAATCTATTTAATTAAAATATATAATTACATCATTCCCTATAATTACATCATCTTCTATTCTTTTTAACCCCTTCCTATCTCCCAACACTACTCTTTCTCAAAGTCATGACCTCTGTTTTTCATTATTATTTCATAATAATAGTTACCTCCCAAGCCTTAGTATTGCTTATATGCATATGACTTTAGGGCTAACCACTTGGGATTAGATAACTATTTAGGGTTTTTTTCTCTGGGGAAGATTAGCTTTTCCTCTCTAAGCAGTTGTTAGTTGCTTGTAACTCTTCTTCTAGGAGAAAAGCCTCATAAAATTCCCCAACTCACACTGGAAAGCCTACATGTATTGTCATTGTTCAGGTCTTGTTCAAATAGCCATATAATTAAGATTCCATTATATCTCAACAATATGGCTGCTTAACATTTAAGGTTTTTATTATCATTATAGAATTCATTTTCCATAACTGATAATTTCCTAAATACTGAGAATAATTGTATGCTGTATTTTTGAAATAGTGTTCATCTATTTTTCTGACACAGGTAAACCAGTTGGGACAGCTGACCCTTTGAAGCTTTTGTGCTATGTCCTCACGTGGCCTTTCCATAATAATTGACAGGGTGAATTAGGAAGGCTCTCTTCTTTCTCTTCTTGTAATGTCACTAATTCTAGAGGTTGAGAGCCATATCGTTATCATTTCATTTAACCTTAGTTACTTTCTTATTCCAATGGCAGCTACACTGCAGTTGGATAGACCTTCAACGTGGGCTTTGGAAGATACAAACATTCCTTTTGGTCTTGACTGGTTTCTCAAAAACCGCTTGGTTCTCTATGTATCCACCTCCTCACACTGCAGCCTGAAATCGGCTTCTGGGTTGCAAACTGCGGTAATCTTTAGTTCTCATTTCATTCATTTATCTTGAGAATCTCATGTCCATTAGTTATATCTTAAAACTGCATTTCATATATCTTGTCTGATTCTCTAGTAGTTTATGTGTAAAGATGTAGTACCTATATACTGTCATAACCAGAAGTAGAAACATGTTTTGTGTAATTACTATAATTAATAGTAAAAAGTATTATTTCATGAATGAAAAATTGGGGCACCCAACTTCCCTATCTCCCATATACCTGTTGCTATATGAAAGCATGTGGAAATACTCAAAGAGTCCAATAAGAGGAAAAGGCAGTCCTCTTCATCTGGCAGAGCATAGAAAACAAAAAGCTTTCTATGTACACGTTCTGCATCTACAGATGCAACCAACCATGGGTCAAAAATTTTTTAAACCATGTCTGTACTGAACATGTGCATAGCTTCTTCTTGTCATTGCTCCCTAAGAACACAGTATAACAGCAGTGTGTGTAGCATTTCCCTTATATTCAGTGCTATTATATTCAATGCTATCATGTTCAGTGTTATCATATTCAATGTTATTATCATGCCCCTTATACTCAAGTATTAGAGATGATCTGAAGCCTATGGGAAGATGTGCAGAGACAGGCAGCAACTGCAATGGTGTCTGGTTTACACAGAGTTTATGGAACCATGTCTCCCACTGAGGGACAACTCTATAGGGCTCAGTACGGACCCTCCAGTCACCTCCTGCGAGTCTAGAAACCCTGTGGCTAAGGGTCCACTGGGTTCTGACGCAAGATATGCTGGGAGGATGCCTTGACAACATTAGAGAACGTGGTTTTATAAAGAAGCTAATGTCTACTGCCTTGATAGGAGCTATAAAGGAGACATCCTTCCACACTGCAGGTAGAATGGGGCACTCCTTAAGGAAAAGCCTTGTATTCTCTGGCAAGGAGAGGGATATTAAAAAGGCTAGAGTCAAACCCACTCCGTGGGATTGTGACCTCAAGGACTTACCTTCTCTGGTTTTCCTTTTCCTCATCTAGAAACAGGCTGAACAGCTCTGCCTCCAAGAGTTTTCACGGGGTTCAGAAAAGACATGAAGTAGTCCCTGTTCTGGGCTGGCATTAATGAAAGGGCTCAATGAACAACATGCGATGACAGCATTACTTTTATTAATAAACAGTGTGGAACCAACTCATTCTTCATTTTTCTGTAACCGTCTGTAAAATCTGTTGTTATGGTTTCCTTCGATGGTTACCAGGCCACACTAGTGAAGCCATCTGAACCCTCAGAGTTTTTGTGTACATTGACATTTTTTAGCCATAGCTTTTCTTTCTCTAATAGCAAAGGTCTATTCAGGCTGCCATTTTTTCCATGAGTGACTTGTAACCTTAAGACATCTGTCCATGTAATTTCATCTAAGTTGTCAAATACATCATCATCACAAATGGATCCTAACATTCTTATTATCCTTTTACTGTCTGTGTGTCTATGGGGATATCAAATATTGTTGGGGGAAAACTTTTTCCTGTCAGTTTATCAAGAGTTATGAATTTATTGATCTTCTCCATCAATGAGCTCATGGGCTCCATCAGTTGCTTTACGTCCTGTGTATCATTGATACCACTCTGATTGCACTACTCTTTTGCTTCTCAAGACTTGGGTTGTATTTGTCCCTCCTTTTCAAGTCTCTTAAGGTGAAATCTGAGGTGACTAGTGTAAGACTTGTTTCTTCTATCACAGTCAGCCAGTGCTGCAGAGACTTCCTTAGCCACAAATTTCATCACGGTGGGTTTTGTCTTGTAATCCATTCCAAAATACTTACAATGTCTCTTACAATTTTGGTTGTGAGCCTAGCCTCTAATGGCTGAGCCATCTCTCCAGCCCCCAATGTCTCTTAAGATTGAACATTCATCAGATAAATGACAGCATATGCTAGTGTGGATGCAGGGTAAGGGGAACACTCTTCCATTGCTGGTGGGAATGCAATCTTATATAGCCATTATGACAATCAGTGTGGCTCTCAGGGAACTGGAAATCAAGCTATGCAGATACTCAAAGGACTCTACAGGGACCCTTGCTCATCATTTCTGTACTATTCATAATAGCCAGGAACTGGAAACAGACTAGATGTCCATCAACAAATGAATGAATAATGAAAAAGTGGTAATTTATACAATAGAATATTACTCAGTTGTTTAAAAAATTAAATAATGAGATTTGCAAGTAAATGGAAGCAACTAGAATCACCCTGAGTGATGTAACCCAGACCCCAAAAGACAAATATGGTATGTATTCTCTTATGTGAAGATGTTACCTCTTAAGCCTTCAGTAGGCATGCTACAATCCTTATAACCACTGAGGTTAGGTATAGAGTAGGGACTGGGGGGACAGAAGGATCTCCCAATGAAGGAAATAGAATATATAGTTATGGAGAGATGAGATAGGGGAATAGAATGAGAGGATTAACAGAGAGAGTATGAAAAGGGGTAGGAGAAATGAGAGCAAGGGAGGGAATATGGGAAGGGACAGCTAACACTAAGGACCATTTCAGAGGTCATATGAAAACTAAATATAGCAGAAGCGTCTTAAAATATACACATATATGAAAGAAACTAAATGGAATCATCAAATAATGGGAAGACAAAACCCCAACTAGACATCTCTTTCCACCAAGTGAAACCTCCCATGCCAAGAATATGTTATACCTAATAGAGTTGTTGGCCAAAGAGGCCCCATGGAAACCCCCAAATAACTCAAGCTAATATTTCCAAGTCTATTGACTGCTGTCCACAAACTGAGAGTAAGGGTCTATTGTTGAAGACAACACCTACATATCTCATTGAACATGGAAAAGCCAAGCTGGTGCCTAACTAGAGACTTTACCCCAACTGACTAGTGTTCATGGTACTGAAAGTTACTCTGCATGCCACCTGCTGCAAACCTTTTGATCTACAACGGTGGTCTGATTGCATGATGCATTGGCACAATAACGGCACGGAACCTGGAACATTGTTTAGGTGGCCAAGAATCTGAGACTAGATCAGCCATGGACCTAGGGGGAAACTAAATAGTATTGTTCTATCTGATATTCATTTAGAATAGTGTCTTGCTCAGCCGCCATCAGATATGCTTCCTTTTGCAGTGTGTGGGAACTAATACAGAGGCCCATGACTGGACAAAGTATAGAGAGTGAGAGACCTTGGAATACTCAGTCCTAAATGGAAAGTCTTCATCAGACCCCTCCCCTCAGGGCTCAGGGATTTATTAGGAAGAGGAGGAGGAAGGATTATAAGAGCTAGTGAAGCTATAAGACACCAAGGAAGCAGTGCCTTACAAACAGGACTGGCACACATATGACCTCAAAGAGATTCTGGCAGCAAACACAGGGCTTGTATGGGTCCAAGACAGACGGACACAAACTGCCATCCCTAACACAGAAGCTATCTCTAATGTCTGTAATGGAGTCTTACAACCAAACACTGAAGGACAGGCCCCATGTCCAGCAGTAGATTGCCAACACAAAATAAACACTGGTATTTGGGGAGATGTTTTTTTTGTCTCATAATGGTTTGTTTGGGTATTTTTAAACCTTTTCAGGTCTTTTGCTCGTATGTTATGCTTTCCAATTACATGTTTTTACAGTATGTGTGTGTATGAATGCGTGTCTCTGATTGTCTATGTGTTTCTCATGCTTTTTCTTTCTGCTTGTTTTGTTTTATTCTGGCTTTATTTGTCTGTTTTCTAAAGAGAGAAAGAGACAGGTGGGGAGGATAGGGGAGGACATGAGGGAAGGGACACTGTGATCAGAATATATTATACAGAAAAAATTATGTTGAGTAAATTTTAGGAAAGAAGGATTGAGTCTTCCATCGATGGGTCCTAGAGAAACATGCTGCTTAGCTTCCAGACACTGAGAGCAACATCTATGTATCTTCTAATTACTGATTTCTAACTTAGTTCCAAATAGGTCTAAACTCTACTTTGTATGACTTGGATTCTTTTAAACTTGCTGTGAGTTGTTATGGCCAGAATAGTGTCTGCTTTATTGAACAATTGTGCTTGAAAAGAACACATATTTTGCCGTCAGGTGGAGTTGACTTCTCCAAGTATTAATCAACTCAATGTTTGGAGGTTATGTTAATCAGCTTTCCACACTAGAATAAGAGAACTGAGATAATTAGCATATAGGGAGAAGAAGGTGCTTTTGGTTTTTGTTTGGTTTTGGTTCTCAGTTTTAGAGGTTTCATTCCAAGTTTGGGTGGACTTGTTGCCTTGGGTCTTGGTAGGCATGCTGATAGAACCTGCAAGGAGTGTTTGCTGGAACAAATTGCTCATCACAACACCAAGAAGCAAAAGAGAAAAAAGAAATGGCCAGGGCCCCAAAATCGCCTTCTGGGTTATTTCCCCAAGGATCTAAGGATGTCCCATAAGGCTCTTCCTTCTGGAGATTCACCGTACCTTCAATAGAGCTGTCCTGGGGCCAAGCCATAAATCCATGGTTTTTAGGGAAAATCAGCACTTGCATACAACCATAGTGTTTGATAACCTTACTCGATTTTCTGTGTGTTCCATCAGTGATTGGGAAAGGAATTTTGAACATCTGAGTACAACTTTTCCTTGTGTCTTTTCATTTCTAGCCAGCCTCTGTTGAATGGTTCTTGAATGTTCTGCTATTAGGTGGTGCACATTTCTCATTGCTATGTCTTGTTGGTAAACTGAGTACTGTATCATCATGAAACAAAACTCCTTTTCCACAGTGTAGTCTTATTTCTGAGGAAGTAATAGAACTACTCCAGTTCTCTTTAGTTAGTGCCAGCATCATGTATCTTTTCCTACTTTTGCTTTTATCCTACCTGCTTCTCTTGTTTGGCGTATGTTTCTAATAGGCAGCCTATACCCAGGTTTTATAATTATATCCACTCTGACCATCACTATTTTATATTTAGTATATTTACATTTAATGTGAATTTTAATATGTTAGGCTTAAATTTACTATTGAGCCCTTTTTTTCTTTTTCTCATCTATTTTATATTCCTGTTTTAGTTTGTTCCTTAATGTTGTTTTATAGGGAAGGTCTACTAGGGAGGAGTTGTTCAATATTTGCATGTTCTAAAATGTCTTTATCTTGTCTTCATTTCAGGAAGACTTCTGTTTTGAGCTGGGTATATAGCTTTGGTAAAGCATTTGCTTAGTATGAATGAGGCCTTCTGCCTGATACATAGTACTGAAAGAATAAAAGGTAATGCTTTAAAAGAGACTTATGAACAATTATATGCCAATAAATTGGGTAAACCAGAAAAAAATGGGCAAATTCATAGAACATGTAACCTCCCAAGACTGGGTAAGGCAGAAATGGAGAACCAGAGAGCAACAGTGTGTATGGATATACTCAATCAATAACCAAAAACTTCAACAACAACCAAAAAAGCAACAGCTCAGGATCTGATAGCTTTACATAGGACTTCTATCAAACACTCAAAGAAGAATCGAAACCAGCACTTCTCAAACTACATAGCAAAAATATAAGGCTGACGAGAGAAATTGAAGACATTGTAAATAATACAAATATATATTACAACTAATACTGATGTACAAATAAAGTACAAACGGAAAGGCATCATGCACTCATAAATTGGAAGGAATTAAACTGTTGAACTGTTTATTTCTCTGTGAAAATGACTCAGTGGTTAAGAGCACTTCTTACTCTTGCAGATCAGGGTTCAGTTCCCAGCACTCACATTAGATGTCTCACAACTGCCTGTAACTCTAGTTCCAGGGGACCTGATGCCCTATTCTGGCCTCTGAAGGCACCTCACACCTCAACACATATCACACACACACACACACACACACACACACACACACACACACACACCAAATATAAACAAACCTTTAAAACATCCACCCTACCCAAAGCCATCTAGATTATGATTTTGTCAATGCCTTGTCCAGTTACACATCTACAGGCCACAGGATTTGTTCTACAGCTCACTGATACTGTCCCTCCCCTGTATTGGAGTTCCTATCATTATATTTTTTAGTTCACTGAACTTTTCTGAGACACTACCTGATTCATTCCATCTTCTGGAACATTCATCCTCTACAGTGTGTTTTT